ATATAAGCATAAAACCGATGACTCTACGACCAATAAGATTTTATGAACCGATAGGCAAAAACTCCGTCTTTTCGAGCCTACATAAGGCGAGCGAACTCATGCTACAGGAGCACAATATACCTATGCGATGTCTCTGCATCTCTGTTTCACTTTCATGGTCTACCTAGACAATACAGCAGATGAAAAGTTGAAGCAATAATAAAACGTAAACAATCTTCTTTTTTAGCAGAAATCGAGAATTCAATCAAAACCACCCGTGGAGGGCGCACAGAGTGAGGCTCACATACGAACAACCCACTCCCTCGTACTTCATCAGTGACAGGCAAATGTGTGCTCAATTTGCATCCACACCATAGTTCAAATCGGCTTGTACAGAAGAGTGGTGACGTACTTTTTACGGTATCTAAAAAAACAATTTTGAATATGAAAAAGATATAGACGGCCATTTGTAACAAATACATATTCTGCATACTCTCGAGACAATCACGGCATCTTGCTGATAACATATTAGTAGAACCCCTAGCTGAACAAACGGCTTTTAGTGCTTATCCGATCAGGATAAGGAGAAAACGAAGAAACATGAAGCTTTTTTCGAGATGAAACTGGCAACTTTGACGAGAGAAGGTTGTGAGTACCGCGAGTGATGTGCAATAAGTGCATCAAACAAATGAATCGACTGTTCTTAAAATGGACTGTGTCCCTGCGTTTTCCCATACGAATACCGCTTCGCATGCCTGTTGTCTACTGCGCCAAATCTGGCGCTTCTTCCAAAGCATTCAGAACTTGCGCTCGTGCACCAGTGGGCAAAAGGTAGCAAATAGGCTGCTGCGGCGGTATCTATGCAAAAAAAAATCACAGAACACAGACTACGCTTTCCATGAACTACGTAAATTTCAACAAAATAAAATTTGTCATTAGCAAAGCCACAAACCGGTGGGTCGCAGACAGCACCATTACTCCGTCCTTGATTGACAAAGCGTAAAGATGATTAAGCATCACGTGATTGGGTTCAGGCAGTACATTAGGATCACATTGGACAGGAGTATCCTTGTTAAGTATGACCTTGAAAGGTTTTAGTATTACGCGAAGCCGTATGTGTAGCTAATGTGCATTTTGTATAAACTTACTTGGAGAAGGTGAGGCGGTAGAGCGGGTGGATTATGAGCTTTGGCGAACTCGTTCCTGTCAGGAATGTCTTGCGTGAAAGCGCGCAACTTCTCCAGTTCTCTTAAATATAAAAGTCTAACCTTGTACTATATCATCGATGTGCCCCACCCTATCAAACGTGCTTGACGACGAGAACACAACCGAATATTATTTGCTAACAAAAATCACCTATCATTCGGAGTATCATGAGAAGGCTGGTGATTAGGAGCGCCGCGCATCGCTTCTCCAGCATTAGAAGAAGCCAGATCTTTGTCCAATGCATCGAAAACCTAAAAATAAGACTTAACACGATAAATGAGCCATGAAAAATGCGGCTTCCTAATTTGCAGACTAAACCTTTGTACTGCATTAATTCATCGCGGAATAATCTAGTCTACCTCAAAGTCATCTTCGTCGATCGACATTACGTTGTTTTCACCTCCCAAATTGTTGTTTGTTTTTGGCTGATTGTCGTCTACTACCCATTTGTTGTCAACCATAAACTTGTACTCGTGGTGCCCTGAAATACTCACTTGAATCCCCATTCAACAGCTCTTGGGCGCATTCGTACGCCAATGTCAACGGCTCCGAGCCGAAAAATTTACATAGAATTTGCATGCGTAACAGGCATACGTCATTAACAGCTGTGATCATTTTGAAGACAAATAAGTAGCAATGATATACGCTTACCTGGTGTGAGCTCAAGAATAGTGCTAAAGTCGCTTGATGACTTCACCAGTGGGATTTTTTGACGCCATCCATCCCAAGATCCACATATATACACAGACCGAGGTTGACTGGAACGTAAAATAGTAAAAACAATAGCCAAAACCGTGATTTAGATATCTGCACAAGTCTATTGAGCAGACATCATGAAATAGTTAGAGTTCACAGGACACAGGATGGAAGAAAACTAAGGAGTGGGACATCCAGAGCAGCATGGATCAGAGAATAAACAGCACTTTCTAATCCTCATTTACAGACTCATGAAAATAAATTTTGTAAGAATGTAACCCAATCATATTACCCTTATAATAGCAAAGAATGATATAAGATACTAAGCTTTCTGCAGTTTTGCAGACAAAAAGTGCATAACCAACCTGGTAGCAGAACAATGCCATTTGAAAACCACAGGATACTCGTTGGTTTCTTTGAACTGCACATTAGGCGCTACACCGCCTTCCATATCGTCATCGCTCTTGGCAATTTTCACCTTAAAACAATCAT